GTTCGAGGCCCGGCCCTTAGTCTCCGGCCTGGGAGCGACTCGCCTTTGGGCCACAGGGAGGCAGTCCGCCTTGTCCCCAGGTGAAGCGCGTCAGTCTCCATTTCTCTACTTGTCCCAGGAAGAGTTTGGGCGAGGTAGAGTCAGTTTTGTGGGAAAAGCAGGCCGATTTTTATTCCAGTGGGGCCTAGAATTATAGGAGGTCCTCAGTAGCGATGGAGTAAAGCCAGCCCCAGGCTGCTGCACCTTCCCCTGCTTTGAAGTAGCGATCCACCTCATCTTCCCAGGAGCCCGGCGAGGTCTGGCCTGAGTCCAAGCTTTAATAACAGCGTTTGGTGATCACGTAATTCCAACAGTGCAGAATGCATTCTCTCTACACCTTACCGAGCCAATAGTGTCCAAAATAAGGACTTAAAATAACCATTACAAAAAAGTTCCGCTTTCTTAAAAGGCTAATGTTTTCCAGAACAAATCACTTAAACAGAAATTTTAAGTGTTTTAATAAATGGCACATGCAAAGGAACTTGTAGGACCAAAGGAAAATGTCTCAATTTGGAGCCTTATGGGAAAGTTTTGGGTGAGGGAGACCCTAATGAAAATCAGCTCTTAATCATGATACTGTATATAACTGAGACGATAATTTTTAAAACATTTTTTCACAAAGATGTTTCTATGAAAGTGCACTTTTCAAGGGGCACATACTTTTTTTTTTTTTTTTTTTGACAGGGTTTTGCTATGTAGTTTAGACTGGCCTTGACCTGTGCAGCCCAGGTTGGCTTTGAACTAGTGACAATCCTCCTGCCTCAGCCTCCTTAGTGCTGGGATTACAGGTGTGCACCACCACACCTGGCTCTGCCATATATATATTTTTATAAGTGGTGATTTAATATTTAAGATTAGTTTAAAATACTATGGTCTCAAATATGTAAACGCGAACATGTTAGCGTCCTTAATTTTGTGTGAACACATGTGCAAATCAAGCATTAGTCAGGACACACTGTTAGTAGCTCAGAAGTCAACCTGTTCCTCATGGGTAACAACTCCTTCCAATAGATGACCCTTTGGGTAGTTGCATCCTTCCTTGTTTTCTTGGACTTCTGCAGTTTGACTTCATTTGCTCAACTGTTATGACATTAATATGTACTATGTCATGCACCCTGTAGTGTTTTACATAATTTAAAAAATCAATTTTACTTTTAGTGGACATTCAGGTTGCTTAATTATTATAAATAGCGCTGCTGTGAACATTCTCTCCCAGTGTCCTCCTGCCAAGTGCACACACTTGTGGTGAATGCCTGCCACTTCTCCCAAAGGCTTTGTGGTACCACTGTATGTATCTCAACTACATTCTTCCACTCTGTACTTTGCCTCTCCTTTATGTCTTCTGATGAATTGGTGTTTTCAGTTTTAATAGTCTTTCGATCTTTATCAGTAGTACTTTGTGTATCCTGTTAAAAATGTATTTCCTACTTTTGGAAAGGTAGGAAGGTATATTTTCCTATGTTCTCTTTTGACCTCACCTTTCACTTAGGTTTCCAATCCACCTAGGACTGACTTGGGAATATAGAATGAAGAGGCTAACTCCATCTAACTGTCCCAGCATCAGACTAACACAAATATAATTTTATTTAAAAATAGTAGCATTTCTTGTCACTGAAACAAACTACTTTGCCTTTACTTGTACATAATTTGAGAACTTTTGCCTTTGTTGTTGTTAGGGAAAGAGACTGCTATAAAATGTGTGGTATTTTATTTCACTTAAACATTTTCGTGTCAGAATATCTTTATTTCATCATGATCGTTTCAATTACTGGCCCAAGTATTCTCAAGTTTTCAGTTTAAATATATTAAATAAAAATTTTAAGATGAAAATCTTAAAACATCTTTTTTCTTTTTCTGTATTTTCTGAAATGAAAACAAATAACTTTAAGTGTGCTTATCTCTAGCCTGGCTTTCCTCTCTGAAGTGTACTCAGTATTTCTAACAGTTTGTGTATATCTTCACATGAGGTCTATTAGCTCAAGTTCAATTAATTCAAAATCAAAATTTTAACCTTCCTGTCAAACTGGGAAAGGATCATCAGGCCTAGACGTTTAGATTTGACTTCACTCCCCTACCTTTTATGTATCTACATCTACCTCCATATTCACTTTGTTAGCCAGAAGACAATGTGAGAATGTGAAGAGCATGTGAGCTGTCAAACAGTGTAAATCAAAGATCACGTCCCTGGTTTTCAAAATTTACAAATATATTACAGATAAAGACATGATTAAGACTTGTCCCTCAAGGGCTCATGATCTAGTTGGTGTAGTTGGTACACTGACCATTAGTTGTGTAGTACAAAGTTTAGTGAGACATGGGCATCAGGAGGGGCAGAATCAAAGTAAAATGGAATAGAAAGGTTCACAGTCAGCCCAGGAAGTAGTCAGACAGGGCACTGACAAAAAAATTTTTTTTTGGTACCAGAGATCAAACTCAGGACCTGGTGCTTGCGAGGCAGGCGCAGTGCCATTGAGCTAAATCCCGGCCCTGCTGATATAATTGGTGGGAAGAATGAGTAGCAGGCAGAGGGGCTGGTATATGCAGTCAGAAGGCAGCAAGTCTTGTTTTAGGGTGTCAGTAGCCCTGGATGAACATATGTGGGGTAAAAGGATGATAAAGGTCCAGTGTGGCTGCAGCAGGATGTGGTGGGCAAGGTCGGGTAGGAGGATTACAAACAGCCTGGCTCTTGAGTCCAGATACTCTGGACAATGAGAAGCCACTCAAGATTTGGAATATGGGGCATGCTGGTTTGCCTGGCCGGCTCTTGTGGCAGTGCTGATATGCTAAAGACTTAAGATAAGTCTTCACATGCTTTGGAGATCACTTGCTTTGGGACATACCACCACACCAGGGAAGAGGGAGGTCATGAAACTCTCAATTTAACTGGAGAAGAACCCAGTACTGCAAAGGAAGAAAACAAACAGAAGAGGAAATTTTCATCTAAATATTATAAAGCCTACAAATGACAAAGCAGCCAGTTTTTATACTGATAAACTTTTAAAATTCTAACGTTATAGTAATAATTCAAGTGCAATTTTCTTTGAAAAGTCAACTCTTGTCAAGACAAAACTTATTAAATATTTCTCCCCATTTAACACTGAAATATTCTTTTCACTCTCCCACAATAGTCAGAGCCATGTAGCAGAAATGAGATGTGAGCCTACTACACTTTGTTATTGCTAAACAAATATCTGAATTAGTTGTCAAGGTCTCAGAAGCAGTAATTAATTAACTTTTGAAGACTCTACTGGATATTGTAACATGAAATCGTGAATCCAGGTATCAGTGTCTGGCACCGATGTGTCCGCTAGATAGACCACTACTTTTCGGTCCCAAGGATTAGGATTTTCAATAACTTCTTGTACCAGTGCCACCACAGCTTTCTTCTCCACATGACTTCGAAAAACCATCGAAGCCTCTTCGGACCACTGGCTGCACTTCACTCCTAGGAGAAAGACAGAGTGAAACGCCTTTCTCTGCTTTTAATGGAAAACTATTAGTCAATTCTAAAGTAGCTTAAGCACCCCAGGCTAGAACTGTCTAAGGTGGTAAACAGCTGCTGAACAATCACATGGCAGACCACACTGTAGTTTTTCTACTCTGAGTACAGTTACTTCTGTAAGTATTTACCTACCAATAAAAGTTGTATTTGTGATTTGATGCTGTATTATCAAATGAGGTAATAATGACTGCTAACATTTCCCATGTTATGAATAACTTAAGTTATTCATAAACTAATAATTGAGAATAAAATATTAATAATATTAATGACATTTTTCTTAAAGTTTTTTTCCTGATGGGCCAAATACAGTTTAAAAAAGAATTGCTATTGAGAATGTAATTTTTAACAAAGTATACAGAGTGCCATGGAAGGAGCACTACATTCAAAGTCAGGGGACTCTACTATTCTCAGCTCATCTTCTATTGGGTGGTGTGATCTTGGGCATATCAGCTGTTCTCTTGGTCTTTAGTTTGCCTATCATAAAAGAAACTGATTGGACGAGATAAATTTTAAGATTCACACCTCTCTAAATTTGTATGACTTTTGAACTTAAGAAGTCAATTTTGGGCCGGGGATTTAGCTCAGCGGTTCCACAACCTGCCTTGCAAGTGCAAGGTCCTGAATTTGATCCCCAGTACCACAGACACACACACACACACACACACACAAGTCAATTTAAAGTATTCTAAATATGAACTTAAAATTGAGGTAAAACATTTCACTAAATTCACATATACTAGATTAGGTGAACTATCAGTTATGCCAAGGGAATGAAGGTCTGGGAGTCTTATACATAGCCTTAGAAGATTTGCCACCTACAGAGCAAGAGAGATAAAGTCTTCAATTACTAAGAACTTCTCACAAGAGAAGCCTAAAACTCTCATTTTATCTTCGGTAGCCCTGACAATTTTAAGTCATATTATTTAATAAGTAATAAGATACCCTCCTAAAACCTAATAAGCAAGGTTGAGAGATGACCCACAGTAGCTCCATTACATCTGTGATCGATGGCATGAAATGCAAAGCCACACTGCACAGCTACAAAGGACATCCATGTAAAAGTCATAGGCAGTGAAGCAGCAACCCAACCTACTGGAAACCTTGAGAGTGACTCCATTTGTGAGTTCACACAGGTTCATCCCAAGGACCATGGAGAATCCTTACAATATTCTTATTTATACACTGAGGACATACTGTGGATTCCACTCAGCTTCCACTGAGTTCTTAGATTCTCGGGATATTCAAAAATTTCCTAGGGCTTGGCTAGATGAAAACCATGTCTATCAAAGTGATGGCTCCAATGCCTATGTCACAACAAGTGACTTCCATGAAACTCCCAGATGGAATCACTCCTCCGTCTAGTGACTATGCTGGAACATACATATGCTTGAACATTTCTTCTCCTAATCTGATGCCAGAGAGGATCTGTAACTGATGAGCAAGTCAGTGGAAAGGTGTGGCAAAAGTGAGCCAAGAAAGGGAACTAAGATGAGACTCAGCAGCAAGACTACATTTCCAGACATATGTGTACCAAGAAACAGGCATATATTTGTGCTACCTGCTTAGTCTAGAAAGGGATTTCATATTCATTCTTTCATCTGGTCCACCTATAAGTTCAGAGACCTAAGCAGGATGGGACTGACTGGCCGGCCATTTTATAAATAATTACGGGGATGGTGAGAAGGAAGAGACTTGAATCGAGATCTTCTGACTTCCAAACTACACATTTCTGAGAAGGAAGCATACAATGAAGAAAGGGGTACATTGGAGAAGCAGATTACTGGACTTGAGGCCACAGGGTCTTGGGGAGGATACTTAACTTCTCTGAGCTTGTTTCCTGATCTGGATAACAGTAATAGTGCCTGGTACCTAACCCTGCCAGAAGGGGGCAATGAAGTGGCTGGCAGAATTTAAGGAGGTAAGAAGTTGTCATTCCATTCTAATGACAAATAAAAAGCTGGGAAACTGAAAAGTGAGGCTACAGGGCAATATGCTGACCCAAAAATGTAGAGACAGAAAGACAGATACAGTAGGTCACAACTCACTGGAACAGAAATCGATAACTAGATAGTCTAGAGATGCAGATGAAAACACACTGAGATTCCACCTCACCCCTCAAAGAATGGCCGCTATCAAACAATAACAAATGTTGGCCGGGTTGTGGGGAGAAAGGAACCCTTCTCCATTGTTGGTGGGAGTGCACACTGGTGCAACCACTATGGAAATCAATATGGAGATACCTCAAAGAGATGGGACTAGAGGTTCCATTTGACCCAGCCATCCCTCTGCTGGGTATCTTTCCAAAAGATTTAAAAGAATCATATCACAGTGATATATGCACACCCATGTTTATAGCGGCACAGTTTGTAATAGCTAAAAGTTGGAAACAACCCATTTGCCCATCAGTTGGAGGCTGGATAAAGAAGATGTGGTTCGCCTATAAAATGGAATACTACTCAGCCATAAATAATGAGAAATTAGATTCATTCATAGGAAAATGGATACATATTGAGGACATACGCCTAAGTGAAATGAATAAGTCACACATGTGTAAATACTGAATAGTTTCTCTGGTGTGAAAAACTATAATAGTATATAAGATCCTAATGATATAATTGACAATGTGACATAGGAAGAAAAGGGCTAAAGGTGTAGGGAAAGTAGGAAGGGTAGGGGAAAGGTAATAAGGGAAAAGAAAAAATATGAGAAAATGAAAAAAATGGAAGTAAAGTGTTTGTATATGGGGAGGGGAGAAGGGGGTGAAGGGAGGGCAGGGACAAGGGGAAAAATGAGAAGCAAGACCTGTCATGTAAAGATACAAGATCCCAATGATGAATGTAACTGTACTGTGTACCTAAAATGTACAAATAAACTCAATAAGAGAGAGAGAGAGAGAGAGAGAGAGAGAGAGAGAGAGAGAGAGAGAGATATCAATGACCAGAAACCTCAAAGGAGGGCAGGAGTTGGAAAACCTGGACTGTAACTGACATATTGCTGGGGGCTCACATGGGCAAGCCTGAGTGTTAAAAATTCTAGCAGGGCCCAGTTATGCTCCCCTTCCGCAGCACTTTCATAGGTTTTCCTTTTAAGAGCATTACTTCCAGGTCCTCACAATGACACAGAAAAATTCACTGTGCTTTCACAGCAAGGGGCAGGAAACAAAAGAGCTCTCCATTAAGGAGCCTGCCCTCAGGAGAAAGGATTCTAACAAAGCCTGCCCTGCTGGGCTTTCACCAGAGCCTCAGCCACCTGGGTAAAAAGAAATGCCTAACTCCACTACTGTCTCCCTCTACCTACAAGTGGAGCTGGAGAAGCATGAGTGACATTCACAGCAATGGGGTGCGGGGTCACAGCAAACTCAGACCACATCATGGGATTACAGACACCCCATCCCTCACACACCTTCCCATTGCATTTCTAAAGGCCTCTCTGTGGGACCCCAACCACCACCTGTACACCATGGACACCTCTCAGCAAAACACTGCAGGTGATACTAAAAGGCAAAAAGCACAGTCTGAAGAGACTGAGCAGGCATCAGAATCACAGTCAGATATGGCAGGAATGTTGGAAAGATCAGACCAGGAATTTAAAATCACTATGATTAATATGCCAAGGACTTTAATGGATGAAGTAGACAATATGTAGGAACAGACTGACAGAGGCTGCAGGAATAGCCTAGTGATGTAGCACTTGGTTAACATGTTAGAGATCCTGGGTTCAATCCCCAGATGGATAATGTAAGTAGAAAGACAGACCTGTTAGGAAAAAAAATTGTTTTTGTACCAGGGATCAAACTCAGGACCTTGCACTTGCGAGGCAGGCACGATGACATGAGCTAAATCCCCAGCCCAAGATGGACCTTTTTTCAATACTGGGAATTAAACCCAGGGCCTTCAAACTGAGATACATCCCCAGCCTTTTTTATTTTTTATTTTGAGACCAGGTCTTGGTAAGTTCCTAAATTTCCCAGGCTTGTTCAAACTTGTGATCAGCCTCAGCCTCCCAGAGTGCTGAGATGACAAGATGTGTACTATCATTCCCACCTAGAGATGGACATTTTAAGTACAAATTTAAAAAAAGGCTAGACAGCAAAAACACTGCAAGAGAAAATAATGCCTGGGAAAGCTCTGCAGTAGACTGCCTGTGGTCAAGGAAAGGTCTCTGACTTGAAGATGTGACAACAAAAATTTCTAAAACTAAAAAACAAGAACAAAAAGATTGAAACACACATAAAAAAAATACAGTATCTGAGAACTAGGGGACAACAACAACAGATATAAAGATATGTATAAGGGGAAAACCGGAAGAAAAAAGAAGGGAACAGAAACAACATTGGAAACAATAGGAACAAAATTTTCTCCTTAGTGTTGAATCCTGGAAACTTAAGAGAACAGGAAGCAGGATTAACACCCCCAATACATCCAGGTTTATCATGTTTAAACACAAGAAAAATCAAAGATGAACAAAAATCTTGAAAGAAGCCAGAGGGGGGGAAAACCACTTTATATATGGAGGAACAAAGACAAGAATTACATCCAACTTCTCAGAAACTATTCAACCAATGGGAGTGGAGTGTTGAGGGGAAAAAAACCCACCAACTAGAATTCTAGACCCCATGATGCATCCTTCACAAGTAAAGGAGAAGGGCTGGACCTGTAGCTCAGTGGAGGGGTGGGTGCTTGCTTAGCATCTGTCACAGGCCCTGGGTTCAATCCCCAAGGCTGGGGTGGGAGCAGGGTGTACACTGAGGCTCAAGACAAACAGAAATGGGAGGAGTTTGTTAGCTTTGGGAGAAATGTTAAAAGAAGGTCTTTAGGGGGAAAAAAATGAAACTTGGATCTACATAAAGAAAGGAAGGCAAGGCAGGGATTTAGCTCAGTGGTTCTGGTGACTGCCTTGCAAGCACAAGGATCTGAGTTCAATCCCCAGTACTATAAAAAAGAAAGGAAAGCATCAGACAATGAGTTAACATAAATTTTATTTTTCTTATTCTTAACTGATCTAACAGTTTCAAAATAATAGCAACAATGTATTTGATTATGTACGTTTTATACATAAGTAGAATGACTGCAAAAATACAAAGGACAAGAGGAAGGAGTTACTTTATTTATAAGGTATATGCACTACCATGGGGCAGCGTAACATCATTTAAAAGTGGACTTGGATTAGTAATTAAATGTATATTGCAAATTCTAGGGCAACCACTAAAAAAGAGTAACAAAAAAAGAAATACAACTGATATGTTAAGAATGGACTCATAAAATGCTCAAAACCACAAAAAAGTAGAAAAGCATAAATGACAGAAATAAGAATAAAGAACAAAGCTGTGTATGGTAGTATATGCCTGTAATCTCAGCACTCTGGGAGACAGAGGCAGGAGGATCACAAATTCAAGCCCAGACTGAGTAACCTAGTGACTTGGAACCCACCTCAAAAAAAATAAAATAAAAATAAAATAAAAATAAAAAGGGCTGGCGATGTAGTTCAGTGTGCATGCCCTAGATTTGATCCTAGTATGTGTGTGGCCAGGAAAAATAAGGACAACAAATAGAAAATGTAATAAATATGGTAAAATTAGTCTATAATGATAATGACTAAACCTTACAAGTCTTGATATATCAGTTAAAGGAGAGATACTGTCAGAATGGAACAAAAAAACAAGACTGACTACGTTATTGGCAAGAAATTCACCTTAAATATGAAGACACATATAGAGAAGAGTAAAGGGGTGGAGAAAAATACACTATGCTAACACTTAGCACAAAAAAAAAAAGCAGGAGTAGGTATGTTAATTTCAGATAGAGCACACTTTAGTGCAAGGAAATTTATCTGGAATAAAGAGAAGCACTGCACAATGATAAAAGGTTCAGTTATCCAAAGAATATAATAGTGTGTGCTATGGTTTGTGTCTAGATGGCCCCCAAAGCCCCGTGTCATAGGTGGGGCTTTTTCAGAGGTAGCTGAATCTAGAGTGTGTGACTGATTCATGGTGCAATGCTAGGGCTGAGGGTGCTAGGATTAAGGACAGATGATTACTAAATCAGTTCGATTGGTTTGGCACCACCCTAATCCCAGTAGCCTGGATACAATGTAAGGGACAGAAAGAGGCTAGTTTTGTCCCTTGCTTTCTTTTGACGTCTTCTGCCTGAAATGAACTGTTTCTTTTCTGTGATACCCCTCTGCAGTGCCAACCTGCCTTAGAGCCAGCCAACTGTGGAGTGAAACCTCTACAAACTGTAAGCCAAATAAACTTTTACTTCTTTAACTCTGGGTGGGTGTTGGGTATTTCGTCTCAGCAACAAGAAAAGTAACTAAGATAATGTGTGAGCACCTAACATCAGAGTATCAAAATATATAAGGCAAAATGATAGAACTGTAAGGAGAAACAAATGAATCCACTATCATAGTTAGACTTTAATACTCCTATTCAGAAATGAACAGATCCAGCAGAGATTTCAATAAGCAAATACTGAACTCAACAACACAATCAATTAACTGGATGCAAGTTACATCTATAAGTGACTCCATCCAACAACAGCAAATTGTAATTCTCAAGTTTACATGGAATATTAACCAAGATAGGTCATATCCTGGGGCATAAAACACAACCTTAACAAAGGTTTAAAGGAACAGAAATCATACAGTGTCTTCTTTCAGACCACAAAGAAGTTAAATTAGAAACCAAAATAGAAAACAAAGCTGGAAAATTAAACACTTAGAGGATATAAACAACAAACAACTCTAACACATGAATGAAAGAAGAAATCTCAAGAGAAATTTAAAAATATTTTGAGTTAAACCTCAATCGGACAATAAATAGCACCAAGAATCAATCAATGGGATATATCAAATTTGGTTTCTAATTTAAATTTGAATCATTGTAGAAAAACAGATGCTCCTTGATATCAATAATGTGAAGTGAAACATCAGTCACACAAACTTAAATATCACATGGTTTCACTTTTAGGAGAAACCCAAAATATAAATAAAGAGCCAAATAAAGAACTGATAATATGAAATAGGGAGCTAGCTCTTTCTCATGAGAAGAGGTTTAAGAGACAAAGATATGGGAGAAGGGGAAAGAGTTGAAAAGAAGAATTAAGATGTGTCATGTACACATACCACCTCCCCATGAGGAATACAATCATAATGTATTGGAAACATGTACTAGTAACAAAAACTGAAAAAATTCTAAGAATGGAAAAAAATTTTTAAGCTAAAAAAATGAAAAAGCAGCGTATCAAAATTTGATGCAACCTAAGTAGTGATTAAAACAAAATTTGCATTATGGGCTGTATATATTAGACAAGAAGAAAGCTCCAAAGAGGCTGGTAGAGTCTCCAGCACATGGTAAACACAAGTGACCACTATGCTAGTGATGCAGGTGATGGTGCCAGGCATTCACTCTTCACAGACCCCTCGTCTGGAAAATTCAATGCTCATGCTTGACAGAATGTTTTGTTAACATAACTTGAACATTCAAAGTGAAAAATGAAAAAAAAGGTGACCATTAAGTCTGAAGAAACTAGAGGCTTGAGTCCAAAGCAGTCTAACAGGCAGCCATGACATGCGCAAACTGCCAATTTTGCTTTATATCCAATTACCCTGAGAATTTCATTTGAATTGGTAATAGACACAGTGAAAAAGGCAAATATTTCAAAATAAGGCAATATAACCTTCTAATAAAAGTCGATTAATAAATAAAAGAATAATCTATATACATTCTTTCTTTCATTGCTGAAATCAGATAGCTTCTGTTAGTGTGTGACAAGTACGGGCTAATGGAGCTGAGGACTGCAGGGATCAGGGAGCAAAGGGATCAGCGTGACACTATGTGTCATGATGCCACATATGCCAGTGCAGCAGGACACAGAGAGCCCAAATGATTGCGGATATCTGCACTCCTCAGCTCTTCTGGCCTCCATGTCTGTGGCTGATGCTGACAAGACTCTGGGTTGAGCTTTATCCAACTGCTCATGATACCTAATGGTAGGTGCCTTATAGGGGAGCCATCAATATCTGTACTGCTTTCACAAAAAAATCAAGGAAAACTTTACTGAACAATACTACAAACAGGTATCACTATACAACTATTAAAACATTTCTTCAAATTTTAACTTTTTTTTTCAGTACTAGGGATTAAACTCAGGGCCTCACTATGCTCAACAAGTGTTCTGCCCCCAAAATACATGCTCAACCCCAGCTCCTCAAATTTTAATCATAGTCAAGAGGCTGGTATCAATGTGGTGAAATGGCATACTTGCATGCTGTCACTTGTGATAAAACTGGAAACTCACCTGGCCATGAAAATGACCCTCTATTGTTTTGCGATTATGTAATACTTCGTTGTACAGATATAATTTGTGCCATAATAATAATGAAATATTCTCCGTTGGTCATTTAGGTTGTTTTTAGTTTGTTTTTGCTAGCTTATTTGCAGGGTTTTTCTTAATATTAAAACGAAAGGTGTAAACAATCTAATTGTTCAATAATAGGGAAATACTGCTTCAGTGAAATATTTTGTACTTATTAAAAATAATTAGCAATGCCTGGGGACGTACCTCAGAGGATATTGCAGTTTTAGCATGCGTGAGGCACCACAATGAGGAGTGTGCACTGGGGGGATAACAATAAGCAAAACCATAAAAATATCCCCCAGATAGGGAAAAATACTAAGCAAGGAAAACTAAAATGCCATATAATACCTGTATTAAATCTATAGCATTAGAAATATACTCATGCTTTCATGAAACCAGACACAGAAGTGAGCAAGAAAAAATAGAAATAGCAGATATAATGGTATATAGCATGACTGTATGAGATCATTAAAATTATTTCCATTATGGCAAGATGTTGCATTACAAACACAACAATCACAGCAACTCCTCAATGGGCCAATGATTCATGCTTGCTAAGTACTCAGGACAAAATGACAATATAAACTACACTGTAGCATCATGAGTTCAGATCCTACAGAAATTACCTGCAAGTTGAGCTGTGACTGCTTGGAATGGCAGTTTTCGGAACATGTCCACAAGGGGTTGAACTTTCCTTATGTTGATTAATTCATGCTTGCCATAGTCCAGTTCATACACGGACACAAGTCCATTGGTCAGGATTCCTTTTAAAAGCACCCTGTGCCACCTAGGTACACATCGGATTAAAAAGAGAAAACACAGAATCAACTTTAAGGCTAAGTAAATACGGTAGAAAATTAATGGTAAAATACCAAATACAAAACTATACTCTTGTAGAAGTTTTTAATCTGGTGATTAAATATGACTTGTAAACTTGTTCAATCATATTTTCCTTTCATCTTTTGTGAAAGCAGTACAGATGTTGATTGCTCCACTGTTGGCATCTGCCATTAGGTATCATCATTCAAGAAATCTTTAGAGGCCTCACAGAGACAGTGGAGGACACTGTTTCGTAAATTACCAACTGTTCTTAAGCGGAATGAAACAGATACCATGGAAGATAATTAGCATATGGACTGGGAACCCCTTCACCCTATGGAGAGAGAAGACAGGCATATGTGTGGTACTCGGTCTATGTTTGGAAGATGGAAAGGGGTATGCAAGCTGGAGCTCAACAAGTGCTTGAGATAAAAGCACAAAAGGCTCAAGAGGGCACGGTGGTCTGAAGCAAACACTCCAGTAATGCTAGAAGGGAGATGGTACACAGGTGGAAAGTCAGAATAGGATGGGAAGTTGAGGAGAGATAAAAACAGTTTTAAATGAAAAGTTTACAGTTTTAATTATCCCAAACGAGGACATTAAACTCCAAAGCAAAACAAAATTCAACCCGTCACCTAAAATAAAGAACATGGAAAAGCTAGGAAAGCATGGGGGAAGAAGAGGAGCCTGGTTCAGATCTGGAGCTCAAGGTGTCAGAAAGAAAACTCACATGAATATACTTTTTCTCCAGCCTTGTCCTGCATTAATATCATCAAAAATATGAGAAACACCCAGACTACAAGCTTAATATAAGAAAGACCACTTTAAAGTCTTACAGTTTCAATCACATGATTAAAAAGGATGATTGTATTATAGAAAGGAAGACTGTGGTCTCGGCACCTGAACGGTGTGAGCTTGCCTCCCCTCAGGTAGCAGGCCCACCTAGTCTCTGGACAGGTTTATCATCCACAAACCCACTGGAAGAGCAGACCCTTGACTGGAACACATTGCTAGGCTGGGTTGGCCAGCAAACACCCACAGGAAAACAGGCCTAGGAACCCAAGCAGGCACCCTAAGGTAAACAAAGGGGAAAACTTTAAATACTGCTATGTGACTGGGGCAGTTTTCAAAGAACTTATGAAACCTTCAGATAGGTTCAAAGTGCAAGAAGCAATAATGCATGAGCTCCAGACACAAGTGGGACACAAAAGATTCATGAATAGCTGAACTCTGGGTGCTAAGCAGACCTAAGGAGTCACACCTGGGCCATTTTCCAGTTGTGCCACCAAAGGCACTTTATTTACATCTCTGAGCTTCAGTTATCTCCTGTAATAGTTAATTTTTTCATAAATATTATGTAAAAAGTGTCTGGCACATTCCATGGCATAATAATAGGCACTTAGCAAATGGTAGCTATGATGTGGAAGAAAAACTACATAATATATGAACTTCAGACCAAATTGGGGAGGACTTTCTATATGTGGAAATGCCAGTTTGGGAAAGGTTGCTAATTTGTATAAATCCAAGGCAAGATGAAAACACTTGGTTTACCACCAATAACACTGTCTTTAAATTACATGAGGCAAAATGATGGTGATATCTATTTTCAGTTCATAAGTTAAGTACAGAGCAGTGACGAGAAAGTCTCAGAAAAATGTGTTGTATTTCTATTTATCTTTTGATTTTCCAAACTAGTAGCTTACATAAAGGCTTCAGTTTTGACTAAGATTATCAACTTCAGTGTAAGGTGCTATCTGTTGTTTGTTAAGAATTCAGATTCTGGGGCTTTACCAGAGAGTCTGATTCAAAAAGTCTGGGGTAAGGAAGGAAAATCTGTATTTTTCGGGGGAAGGATCAGAAATCGAACTCAGGGACTTATGCTTGTTAGGCAAGACGCTGTACCCCTGAGCTACATTCTGAGCTCAGAGGATCTGTATTTTTAATAGGATTTCCAGACATTTCTTAATTAGAAATTAATTAGAATTTTAAAACTACAGTAACAAAAACTGCTATCTGAAATTCCTGTCTTAACTTATGTATTTGGGAACAAGGCTTAGTAAATAGTTCTGAGTCTTAAGCAAGATTAGAAGCTCTAAACACTTTATACTGGTAAAGGCTGTGTGACTTTTTAAAAACTCAGGTAATTTGTTCTTAACTATAAAATATCCATTGGTTATCCGGTAGCAGATTAGCTTGTTTAAATCTGAGTCTTGGGGCAGAATTGTTCAAACTCATGAAGGCTAAGTGAGGAGTTAAGAGAGCCTACACTACAGGTCTCTAGCTCATGAGTTCTCCTTCCATAAACAGCTGTTTTCCTGAAAGTAGGAACTTCCTACCACTAATCATCATTAATTTTTTCCCACCTTGGTAAATGGTTACTACTAGTTTGTTTTATTTTTGTTTTTGTGTTGTTGTTTTTTTGAGACAGGGTCTCATTATTTAGTTGAGACTGACCTGAATCACTATGGAGTCCAAGCTGGTCTCGAACTCACAGCGATCCTCCTGCCTCAGCCTCCCGAGTGCTGGGATTACAGGTGTGTGCCACCATGCCCAGCACCACTAGTTTGGTTTTAACTATAATTAAATTATCCTGCAGATTTCTGGTTGAAGCAAATTTACACAAATTGAAAAGCCTGTGACATAATACGTTGTATACTATTCAAAATGAGCGCTACTAGACTTTCACTTTTGAAAGTTGAAAATTAGGTTGGTGGCATGCATGAAGCGGAAGGATAGAAACTGGAGAGTCTGGGCCTCACTAGGATGAATCCAGCACATCCCAACAGACTTTAGGGAACAGGCATGGTTCCAAATGTGACAATATGACAAAACAGATGCAAGTGTTAAACAAACCTAAGAATACAGTTTTCAGGATCCCAACGCCCAAAAGTAGTGAAATAATGCATTTTCATTTCTTACAAAAGGTAGCAGCACACTGCTAGGAAGCAACTGACAATATATATCAAAAAATTTTGGGGCCATGGCTTTAGCTCAGTGGTGCTGTACCTACCTCACAAGTGCAAGGTTCATCGAACTCACCGATCCTCCTGCCTCAGCCTCCCGAGTGCTGGGATTACAGGTGTGTGCCACCATGCCCAGCACCACTAGTTTGGTTTTAACTATAATTAAATTATCCTGCAGATTTCTGGTTGAAGCAAATTTACACAAATTGAAAAGCCTGTGACATAATACGTTGTATACTATTCAAAATGAGCGCTACTAGACTTTCACTTTTGAAAGTTGAAAATTAGGTTGGTGGCATGCATGAAGCGGAAGGATAGAAACTGGAGAGTCTGGGCCTCACTAGGATGAATCCAGCACATCCCAACAGACTTTAGGGAACAGGCATGGTTCCAAATGTGACAATATGACAAAACAGATGCAAGTGTTAAACAAACCTAAGAATACAGTTTTCAGGATCCCAACGCCCAAAAGTAGTGAAATAATGCATTTTCATTTCTTACAAAAGGTAGCAGCACACTGCTAGGAAGCAACTGACAATATATATCAAAAAATTTTGGGGCCATGGCTTTAGCTCAGTGGTGCTGTACCTACCTCACAAGTGCAAGGTTCTGAGTTCAATCCCCGGTACCAAAAAGGAAAAAAAAAACCATCATCTTTCAATAAGGAATTTTTCCTCTAGGAAATAACCAGAGTTACAAAGATTTATGATTTATAGTAATCTATTATTTGTAATAGTGAAAAATCTGGGAGAAAAAACCCTATATAACAAAATAAAATGATTTCTCCATCACAAATTACCAAAAAAAAAAAATCTCTAAAATTTTTTATTATGTGGAAAAATATTTGTAGCATAAAGTAAGGGCAAAAAACAGGTTTTAACTTTATAATACTAATATACCAGTTATATAAATATACATAGAAAAAACTAAAAGAAATTTACATAATCAGCTTAAGAAGTGCCAAGTTTGGGTAGTTGATTTTAGTTTTTTATGTTATCTAAATTTTTCATAATAAACATTTTAAAATAAAAAGTTATTAAAAATTGATTGTTTTTGGAACAAAAATAATATTCTAATAGAAAAATAGGGGGCTGGGGACTTAGCTCAGTGGTTCTGCTGGCTGTCTCGCATGTGCAAGATCCTGAGTTCAATCCCCAGTACCAAAAATAAATAAACAAACAAACAAACAAATAAATAAAAATAAAAGGAAGAACAGGGACATTTAAACCTTCATTTTGGATAATAATTAGTTTGGTTTTTTTTTTTTTTTTTTTGCTACCAGGGATTGAACTTGGGTCCTTGTATTTGTGAGGCAGGTGGTGGAACCATTGAGCTAAATACTGGCCCAATAATTAGGTTTTAACAGGAATATTTACTAGAGTTTAAAAAATTAAGGACCCTTAGCATCAGTCTACAAATTTTTCTTAGGTATAGAATAGAATAAAGGGGGGCCAGGGATTTAGCTCAGTGGTTTGGTGGCCTGCCTTGCAAGCGCAAGGACCCAAGTTCAATCTCCGGTACTAAGAATAGAATAAAGGGGGGCCAGGGATTTAGCTCAGTGGTTTGGTGGCCTGCCTTGCAAGCGCAAGGACCCAAGTTCAATCTCCGGTACTAAGAATAGAATAAAGGGCTTTGTCCAAGGACCTACTTATTTTCCACCTTTGCAGCATACACTTGGTCTTTTTCCAGTGATATGTGGCACTCTTCAGACACACTATAATACAGAATCATCTCTTCCATCAGGACTTCCAGCTTATGGATCTCCTGCCAAGGCTGAATGACAAAGTAGCCTGGGTGACAGGCCACAGGCACATACACATCCATGTACTGCCCAGGCTTTGACAAGTGGAGAGGTGGTGGCAGTTCCCCCATGGAGAAGGAGCTAGTAGGGTCCACCATGGGCTTTTTGATGACTTTGGGGATGCTTTTTTTGAAATTCTCTCCTGTGCTACTTGCCACAGGCATGTTGCCATTTCTGCTGCTGGGAGAGCTGACTGTGCTGGACACAGCACTCAGAAATACGTCCTTCTGATGCTTCCACAGGTCTGCGTTTGTAATCTGGTGGTTAATACTGCGATGAGGATCGGGGAAATTTGTAGGAGTAAATAAATGCACATATGCGATCCCCTTGGTTTCATCCATTTTTGTAACCTTTGGAAAATGCAAAAAATGATATAAGAAATCCAAATTCATATTGAATTCTGAGAGGCAGTTATATTAACCTTAAATATTAAATATAATATTTTGCAAAGAAAAAACTTGCTAAGATTCATTTTATTTAAGGTAAGGTGAATCATCTATCACAGCCTAGCAATAAACAGAATTAACTCAAAATAGCCTGTAATCTAACAGAAATGAAAACCTGAAAAAATTTTAAAACTTGCTAGAGGTTGTTATCACAGAGAAAAACGAAGTAGTTGTATATGTTACAATTAAAGTTTCAAAATTAATGACATTTCGAAAGACTCAGCATAGAAAGAATAGTATGAACCTCCATGTGCTTATCACCCAACCCCAACAAGAAAAACAATCCTGAGAGGGCAAAAGGTTTAATCTGCATTTGGTGTCAGGCTGGTGCCCTCTCTGACTTGGGTGGTAAGGAAAAAGCTTTAATTTCCAGCACACTCATGAAGACTTCTGGTCTGATTTTCCTGTTTAGTTCTAATGCATTTACTTTCCTCCCATCTCCCTTTCAGCCAAATGGAGGAAAGGGAACTAGAGAGAAAAAGAGGATGAAAGCTCCATTGCACAGGCCTACCTGGCAATTAGGAACTTTCACCCAGGGGACCTTCTGACTTTTTAACTACCTCTGTTCTTTCTACAAGGGGTTGTCTATATGAGACCAAGCACTGATAATTAGGGTGGCTCTGTCACCACGTGTCCCTAAGGCATTAGCTCCTCTGATTTATCTTAGGATTTATCTGATTTACCTTAGGAAGGACAAAAGTGAGATACATTCAGCTACATCTTTTTTTGTTTTGTTTTGTTTTGTCTTCTGGCCCTTGTGCTTGCAAGGCAGGCAGCAAAACCACTGAGCCAAATCCCCAGCCCTTCAGATCCATCATTTAACAAAGCTAGAAGGCAGGAACACAGGAAGAGAGGGCGACACCAGCAAAGCACTCCATCTACACTAATTTATATTAAAAAGTATTTTGCTACATAGATAAGTCTATTTAAATTCATCCTTTGAAATACTAATGAGATGCTGACTTCTAATTTATTTTGACATTTACAATAGAAGCATTATTTTAAAATTTACCATTAAGAAGTATTTTTATTAAATATCCAATACCGTGGCTATACGAGCTTAACAAGTAGCTGAGACACTAACAAGCTGCTGAGAAAACGGCTACTTCATTAACATGTGACAACGGAAGAATATTAAATAGTACATAATTATGCATGCAACACTATAAGCCTTAGAGAAGTATAGATAGGAAAGTTTGTTAAGAGTGATTTAAAAATCTTAATGAAGATACAGCTTAAGCCATTTCATGATTACATGTTTCTATAAAATAATATCTGCATCAGCTAATAACAGAGAAAATAATATCACATTTCTAGTCCTGGAAATATGAACAAGGTTTTTGAAGATGCAAAAGTGCATAAGATAAAACAAGAGCAAGTGAAGTAAGTAAAGCAGCTCAGATAAACTTCACAAAAAAGCAGCAAACACCAAAATTAAAAACAAATGAAGATGCCAGGGAAAAACAGTGGACTCAACTGATCCTTAGAAACATATATCAAAAGATACATGATTCCTCCATTGGGGACTTAATTCCTTATCATAAAGCAAAACTGATATAGGGTAACTTATTAAATGAGAAACCAACCATGAATTATAGCTAGATGTGTAACACTTTTTATTTTTTTGGTGCCAGGGATCGAACTCTGGTCCTTGCACTTGGGAAGCAGGCAATGGAACCACTGAGTTAAATCCCCAGCAACACATTTTGAATATAAAAGATGTGTCTGGGGCCGGGGATTTAGCTCAGTGGTTCCACTGCCTGCTTTGCAAGTACAAGGGTCGAGTTTGATCCCTGGTATCAAAAAAATAAAAAAAATAAAAATGAATAAAAAATGTCTCTGATGTGAAAGCATTTGTTTACAGTAAGATAAAATTCTTTCTCAAAAACCACTGAGACTTTCTGGCTAGAAGTTCCCTTTATAGAGGTAACAGGAGCAGTAAGATACTAACCTTAATGCTGCAGTCTGAGCAATTCAAAACAGAATCTCTTAACCAAAGCACAGCATCTGGTGTCCACATGCCAACAGACTGTGGAAGATCAGCTAAACAGCACTTTACAGCCTGAAGGGAAAAAGGTACACATCTTAAAATAAGTACGTATGAGTAGTGTCATTATTATTTTCTTGCAAGTCAGATGTTGCCAGGAGAGCAAGTAAGAGCCACAGCTGATAATGATAATCACTGCTCTTGGTCTGAGCTATGTTCCTGGGTCTATTTATATCACTACTACCGTCTTTCCTCCTCTTATCAGCCAGGGCTTGTACCAGATGCTTCTCACCCCATAATACTTTTCTGCATGACCAGTGCCATGACACAATATTGCAGGTGATGAAATGACTCAAAGACTAGCTTGTGGAAAACCACAATGCTGAGCAGTCAGGGTGGGGACATATATGAGATCTTCCTGCTCAGTCCAACTTAATGAAGTGACACTTGAAGGAAATCAAACTTCAGGGTCTTTCTGAATGCTTATGGGCTTCACTCCTCAACTCCTGAACACCTTGTGAGTGTCAAGCATTTGTACTTATCTTTTGAAGGAGGTTGTGATGAGAATTAGAAAGGACAGGAAAATTGATGTCCACAGCAACCTAAAAGCCTCATTTTCACCAATACTCTATACCATCCCAACCACTACCTACATTTCTGAAGAATGGCCACAGCAGAGAATTAGGGCTGACCTTGCAGAACCTTTCAGCCACATGTGAGCCTTTCAATTGATGGAGGCAATTTTGAGAGGGGTCTGAAACCTACCTCCCAGATTCCTTCTTTCCTCTCTAAGCTCCTTCTCCTCTATACTACCTGTAACCTCTGGGCTTGGGCTCCAAGCTTCTCACTGTACTAGTTGCACGTGGTGAGGAGGAGGTCACTCAGAGCTGAAAGCACTCCAGGATCTGCAGGAGCTGGTGAGCAATGGCCAACGAGGCCTGGTTGCAGAGAAGGCTACAGAGCTCCCAAGGGCATCACCCACCAAGGAGGGTCCTTAGGACAGTCAGATATTTTAGTTTATTAAAAGAGAAGCTAGAAGTAGGCATTCTGGGGAGAAATTTTCTGACTTTAAAATCCTGGCAACAAATTTACAAGTTTAAAATACTGTTAGAGACAACTCAAACCATAATGTTTATGGTCAGTTTTCACTGACAGACCATCAGTTTGATACTGATGCTTCTTAGGAAGATGTTAACCAGAGGCTTGGGTGAGGGGGCCTTCAAGAGTCCCCAGCCAGTAGTCCTCACATCTACTAAAAATGAATTTATATACGATTAAATTCTTTAAAAAATGACCAATACTGGTTAAGGCAGCAGCAGGAGGATACTAATGTACCACTTTCAGACAGACAGCAGTGGTCTAGATTTCTCCACGCCAAGGAACTTTTTCTGAGATAAGGCTGGCCTTGGACAGGTGTTCCAGTAAGGAGCTGCAGAGGCCAAACTCTTAGAAAGTGATAGTAGTACTTAGAGGCTATCAACTGCCAGTACTACAGCTGAGCAACAGAGCAAAAATGATTTTGAAAACGGGCTTAAATAAATGTTGAACAGCTTCTCTCTAAGTCACTGTTAAAAAAGGAAACAGAGTCTTGAGTGAGAATGCTAAACAGCTATATTAGTTATGGACAACTGGTTTTATATACTGATATGATGACAAAGGTCCTCTGGAAAGTATTAGGCAAGGGGTATTTTGCTATTACACAGTATTAGTTTTATTTTTAAAAAATATTAATTTCTATACAAAAATCTGTACTTCTCCCAAAGGAAGTTAATGGTTCTGTTAACTTTAGTGGACTAAAAATAATTAAAATTTTTTATTATTTGATTGTTCACTAAGAGGGGGAGTACAGGCTGAGGTTAACCTTTTTATTAAAATGTATGAGGGAAGATATACAAGAAATTAAAACATAACATATGAACAGATTTCCAGAGAATTGTTGACTAGTTTAATTATGAACTCTGGAAATAAACATTTACGTACAATATCCTGGAGCTGTGTAGAAGTTATTATTTAATAATTACTTAATAATTAACATAGAACCTTTAACTGGACAACACAGCCTAATGACTTGCTGTACTTGAAAACAAACACACACAATACTTTGTAAATATGAGTGGGCTTCTTTTCTTAGAAAAGTTTTACTTCTGAAAATGGGTAAATAATCACACTTGGATAATTTGATTTTTTGTTTTTTTATAAACTAGGGCTTTGATCATTAGTAAGATCAAAACTGAGAGAGCACCTCATAACACAATTATGAACAAACACATCCACACCTCTCCCAAAAATCTCCAGGTTTATGACTAATTGTACCTGAGGTGGTATTGAAATCACTTCTTGTAGAAACCGAGGTGGAATTTCTCTGAGCTCTGACACTTTCACAGAGGTTGCACTGCCAGAGTCTAGGAACTGAACATCAAGAGCTCGGCTGCTGTGAACATTTGTGATCTGAAATAAGACAAGCATTGGCTAGTTTACTAGCATACCCAAAAGACCAACATACTTCTGGGCAATTACATCTTACACAGTCCTAAATTTCACATTAAAAGCAACAAAAATTGCGTTCATAATTAAAAATTTCCCTTAATTTAAAATGCATTTGTGTATCAAATATTATTTGAGTACAATTGATTTTAACATCTAGCTTTTAATTCATTTAATCAGTAAACTAATAATAATCAGCAAAATTCATAAAAACAATAAAATTTACTATTTCTTGATTCTAGAACATTATGATGTAACTTGATACATTAGCAAATACTGCTGATTGGAAGATACAGTCTGATATTTTAAAATCATAACATACTCTATAGCTTCACCAGAGTAGTTCTTATCATTCTGCTAACAGAAAAAAATTTAAAACTCAGGGGGCCAGGGATTTAGCTCCGTGGTTCCCCTGTTTGCCTTGCAAGCGCAAGGACCCGAGTTCGATGCCTGGTACGAAAAAAAAAAAATTTTTTTTAAATTCAGGAAGTCATAGAGAAGTAAAATAAAGTCCAAATTAATAATTCAAAAATGGAGAAATAAGGGAGCTGGGTGTGATGGTGTACCCCTGAAGTCTCAGCTACTCAGGAGGCAAAGCAGGAGGATTGCAAATTTGAGGCCAGCCTGGGCACCTTAGTGAGATTCTTGTCTCAAAACAAAACATTTAAAAAGGGATGGCGGGGGGGGGGGACGGCGGGGATTTAGCTCAGTGGTTCCAGCACCTGCTTCGTAAGCACAAGGACCGGAGTTCGATAGCAGGTACCAAAATAATGAAACAAACAAAGCAAAAAAACATAAAAAGGGATAGGGCTGGGCATGGTGACACATGCCTGTAATTCAAGAGGCTGGATGCAGGAGGATCACTGTGAATTCCAGACTAGCCTGGGCTACATAGTCGGTTCCAGTTCAGTCTCAACTACACAATGAGACCCTGTCTCAAAAATCCAAAATAAATAAATAAATAAAAAGGGATGGGGACAAAGCTCTGTGGTAAAGTGCTTGTCTAGCTTGAATGAAGGCCTAGGTGATTTTTTTTTTAAAGGAGAAACTACACAGAGCCAAGCAATAATTACCTCAATAATTATTTGTACAACTGACAAGAACAAATTATCATACAGCACATGATCTGCTTCTCATTTATCATTTTTTCCACCCTAACTTCCATACACCAGTAAGATAATACTTAAATCTTTTGTCTATCTCAAAAGTAGAAAACAAATAATTTGTTAATAATACAAATAAAATTACATCTCTAAAGTATTTGGGCGTATACTGAGAAGGTGTATTTTTGTTTGTTTTTGCTTTTGTCTTTTTGTTTCTTAGTACTGAGGATAGAACCCAGGGCCTCGCATGGTGAGGCAAGTACTTTATCATTATTTCATTACCACCTCCCCCAACTTATTTTGATCCAGGGGGTAAGTCATCCCAGTAATCATCCTGCCTCAGCCTTCAAATTGCTGGGATTACAGATATGCACCAGGGCCAGTGAGAAAGTATTTTTGCCCAAAATGCATAATCTGAATTTAAATATAAAGATACTAAAGTTGAGAGATAATTGTAGAATGATGTTACTTTTCAATATGTCATGAAACATTTTGGAGGGTACCAGGAAGACATGACAACTACAATGGATCTTACATTGGATCCTGGACCATAAAATAAACATTGGGGAAACAATTTTGAAAACATCAAATAGTTCTATAGATTAACAGTATTGTATTACGGTTAATTTCTTGGTTTTATAATTATACAATAGTTGTTTCAGATGTTAACATGTGAAGAGTACAGGGAGACTAGGGCTTCTTTATACTATTTTTTTGCAATTCTTTAGAGTCTGAAGTTGTTTTAAAAAATTTAAAAAGTATTCCTACATGTGCATATTATACCCTGAATAGCACAGAGTTTTAGGATATGAATAATGTCAGACTTTTTAACATGTTATGTTTTAAAATTTATGGCTAAGTGTGTAACACACAACCCTTGGTCATACAACTCCAGATGTCAGAATTCTGGTACACATTCACAATAATGACAGTGATTACTCCAAAACTGTTGCTTTCATCGATGTAGACATGACTGAGTTTTACTTAGAAAATCAGTACAACTTATGAAAACAATGCTGTGCAGCATTTTTTAAAAAGTAATAAAGCAACAGTTCTTATCCTTTTAGGGTGGGTTTCTGTGACAGTCTTAAAATTATTCATCCCCCCACTGTAAAATGCAAACACAAACACACAAAAAATTTGCATACAATTCTCAGAAGCTTTGGGGGCCTCCTAAAAGTAGATTCTATATTAAGAACTTATGTATTCAGAGGGGGGAAAAAACCACAAAAAGTAACACAGTTAAGCAAGATTTTCAACTTTAGTAACTGGGAAAACCAGTAATGGGAGGCAGGCAGGCAGGGAGGGAGGTGGGATGGAGAAAGGGAAAGGGAAGAAGAAAGAGCAACCACAAAAATTCCAAATCTGCCTTTTAAAAAAACAGAAATAAAGGATACAATTCTTTCCAACTTTGTAACTGAACTTGTAAGAAAATAAGACAATTTTCAGGGGCTAGAAATAGAACAGTATGTGAACACCAAAGCCAAAGTTACCTTGGACAACAGAGATGGCCTCAGAATCAAACAGAAGGGAGGGAGGATCTGAAACACTTTCACTGGAAAGCCGGGACTCTCAAAGGGCTCTACCCTCAATGGAAGGGTGACCAAGGAGAGGTACTAGGAAGGCTAAAGCTATGCATTCCCTGTACCCAGAAGCTCCTGTATGCACCCTGGAGATACACACAGGAGGGTTTATGGAAACATTATTTATAACAAAAATTACACTCTAAATGGTCAACATCAGGATGTTTGCATATTGTGTAATGCTTACATGTTCATTTTGTTTTATCATACAGCAGTGAAAATAGATGAACTAGAGCTGCATACATCAACATAATGAGTGAAAAAGCATGTTTCAGAAAATACATTTTACTATTTACATAATTTTTAAGAATATTCATTTAGTCATATTCATTTTTACTACATATATTCTAAATGAAAATTTACTTCTATAGTTCCATCTATATACTAAAACTTATAGTAAAAGAATGTGTACAAACATTAAAAGTTTAAAGAAATGAATAGGAATTAAAAACACCAAATTCTGTGGTACATGCCTCTAATCCCAGCCCTCGGGAGGCTGAGGCAGGAGGATCGCTGTGAGTTCGAGACCAGCCTGGGCTACGTAGTGAGTTCCAGGTCAGTCTCAATTACATAGTGAGACCTTGTCTCAAAACAACAAAACAAAACAAACAAACAAAAAAAGAAACGCCAAATTCCGCTGGTAGCTCTCAGGGGTGCTGGCAAAGAAAACGGAAGGCACATAGGAACCATACTGCTTATTTTTTCTTCCATAAACTGGTGATGAGTCCATGCATGCTTATTCCATTTTTTAAAAATCGTGTTTGTATGTTTTAAACATTTCATAGTTTTCAAAAGTTAAGTAACTGATTTTACCTCTACTCGTAACCACTTTCCTTTGCAATGGAAGAGGCAAATTTTCCCACAGAAGGGTAATGAAATGAAGTACTCAGAGGTCATATGCTGTAAAACAGAAATGTAAGATGTTTACAACTCATAGCAAAGATTACATGGCTACATCATTACAAACATAATGCTGAGGTGCAGGCAGGCTGTTCACCCACACGAAACCAGACTTCCCATGAGCCAAAGAGGAGGCTACAGTGGAGGCAGTAAACATAAGAGGGGTACTGCCAAAGTCAGTGATTCTACCCTAACCCATAGGCTCACAAATCAGCCCTGTTAAAATGTCAGCAGAAGTCAGTGTTTAGGTTTTGGCTCCATCAGTTACATATGAAGAGGAATTTTGATCTGCCAAAAAGTTAGGAGTGGATGGATAACAAGTGAGGAGGTTGGGCCAGCTGTCCAAAAGGCCTTCTCTTTCAACTTTCTAACATTTGGATTCAAAGATAAGATTTTCATTCCAAAACAAAAGAAATGTTATCAACACAAGAATATATTATGAGTGCTAGTGAAATGCCAACAAATCACAGTTGTAGGTGTCTTCATCTGCCTCTTCTGCCAGAGCCTCAAGGTGGGGACCTCCCCGTGTCTCTTTTTCTTGAGGTGAGAGTTTCTGCTCTCCCTAAAGGCAATATAGGGGTTACCTGAGTACTAGGAAATATCAACAGTGCTTGTCACCACCATAGGGTATAAGGACATCCACGTAAATGATCACCTATCAGCCTCTTTGGAGGTGTCAAACTTCTCCAAGATGGACTAGAAAATTATGCGACATATATATAACACACACACACACGCACACATATATACACATATCTATGTGTGCATATATATATATATATAATACACATATACATACATACACATATATAATCATAGCAAGAAGTAACACTGTAGATCTAATACTTCAATTCCAGATAGTAGACTGACTACAGGTTTAACCCCATCCAGCAAATACTTGGGAATACCTACTCTAGATAAGACATTGGATTAGGTGCTGTAAAGAATGCAGAAAACTGGCAAAGCAAAGTCTGTATCTGCAAGAGGTCTATACTCAGATTAGGGATGATAGCACATGCCTGTAATCCCAGTACTCTGGGTAGCTGAGGCAGGAGGCCTCTAAGTTCAAGCACAGTCTGGACAATTTAGACCTTGTGTCAAAAATTGCGAAAGAAGACTGGGAATGTAGCTCAGTCCCAAGGTGCTTGGTTCAATCCTCAGTCCTCCTCCACCTTGCCAATACATGAAAGAAGGGGAATAGGAGGAGGGGGGAGGTGAGAGGGAGGGGGAGGAGAGCCACCTATATTCTATTAAGGTAAATAAATACCCAAGTAGCTAAAATAGAAAGCCGAATAGAGTACCCTGCCATGTCTGAAGTACCATGTACATCAGAGAGAGGCTTCACTTGCAGGGGCAAGGGGTTCAGGGTTGAAGTGGCAGTAAGGTTCAGTGACTTGGGACACTAGAGCTTTGTTTTAGATGATCACAATGTCCCTTTTATCAGTAAGGAAACCACTTTTGAAACTTAAAACTTATACAGGTCCTGATTCAGAAAAATAAACACACAAGTAAGGATCAAAAGGTAAGGAGCCCATTAATAGAATTTAAACTGCAGAACTGTATTTCCCAGCAGGTTTTCAGGGTTCAGAAGCCTGGGGAACTGTGCTTAAGTGAGATGAGAGCAGAGCTAAGGGGTTTTATTATCCTCCTAAATTCCAGGGTTTCTCCTCTTCTTATGACAGAAGAGCCGGCTGGCTGGTCAGAGTGACAGGCAGCTGCCCTGATAACTACACAACTGCATACTATAAATAACAAACCTAAGCTGGGGATTTAGCTCAGTGGTTTGTCTGCCTGCCTCACAAGTGTAAAGTTCAGAGTTCGATCCCTGGTACAAATAAATAAATAAACGATTAAATAAGTAAAAATCTATCAATTGATGAGCACTTATAATATCCAGGCACTGTGCTGAACAGTACCTCAACTATCCTGTGACAATCTTATTGGAGCACACTGTTACCACCTTCATTTTACAAAGCAGAAACTGGTAGGCTTTTCTCCCCGCTCTTCTCAAAGCTCTAAAGTTTGAGGTGACTACCTATCATTCTAGAGATTCTACCTCAAACTATTAAACATTATTCATACTTACGAAATTTAGTGAGCTACTCTTGTTTGCAATTTTAGGTATAATTTTTAAAAGGGATGGTGTTCTGCCATACCTTGCAATGGAAGTAATCCTCTATCTTATGCAGAAGGTCCTTGAGTTTGTTCAGACCCTTACAAGGCACTTGGCAGAAGAGTGTTCCATCAGAGCAAATATTTGTCACTTTGACATTTATGTATGTGGCATCAACCTGGAAAAAGCAAAGAACACAACAAGAATGCTTGAGAACAGAATGGTACTCTCAACTCTGTAAGATATATTTACCTAAATATCTCATTAAGTCTGTATCTTAAAATTATCTAAGTCAGTGGATAGCTGCAAAGAATGAAATTCCTAACTTAAGTGCAAAAAATTACACTTAACTAGTCATTGTGTCCAGCACAAAAGATACATTTTGTATATATTACTACATTTCATTGTCTGAAAGTCTAAAAATGTCTCTCTCACTTTGGCTTATTTTCTTCCCCTTTATTTAGAATAAAAATTGGGCCATGGATTTAGCTTAGTGGTGCTGCCACCTGCCTTGCAAGAGCAAGGTCTTTATCCCCGGTACCAAAAAAAGAAAAAAAAAAAAAAAAAAGGAATAAAAATTATCCCAAACACATTTTTGTGGCATTAACAGAAGTGAAAATAAAGAAATTTTACAAAATCAATTCCATTACCAGCTGCTACCTCTGTTCACTGGCAACGTGAATTTTAGCAATTTTTAAAACACTATAATAAAAATATAGATTTAATTTTAGCAATATTTAGTCAATTCATGCAATAAAGACAATTCACAGCCATTCTAGTCATTAAGACTACTCTTCCTAATGTTTTAATGAAGTCTTTTTTGGTTTCTTTTGGTACTGGGGATCAAACTCAGGTCCTTATGCTTGTGAGGCAGGCAGCAGAACCACTCTGGCCCCTTAATGAAGTCTTTAACGTGATCATTTAAATATTTCATCCTATTCTTTAGGATGAATTTTCTTTAACTTATTTTAAAGTTTTCTGCTTTTGGGACTTTTGTGTCTTAAATATTTCTAAAATATTACAGCTAATCATAAATATCTTAATGGAATTCTTCCTTCTCTTATACTGCTTTCCTTTATTATCTTTGTAATTTCATATTAATTTAACATACACTCAATGTAAAAACTGGAAAATAAAAAATTCAATTTCTAAGAAATAATTACTATTAACATTTTTTTTGGTTTTTTTTGGGGGGGGCAGTGAGACAGGGTCTCACTATGTAGTTGAGAATGTCCTGGAACTCACTATGCAGTCCAGGCTGGTCTCGAACTCACAGTGATCCTCCTGCCTCAGCCTCCTGAGTGCTAGGATAACAGGCGTGTGCCACCACACCCGGCTTACTATTAACATTTTCTTCTTGGGGGCTGGGGATTTAACTTAATGGTGCTGTACCTTCCTTGTAAGCACAAGGTCCTGAGTTCAATCTCCAATACCAAAAAATGAAAAATAAAAAAAGATTTTTCTCTTCCAGTTCCCCTCTTTTTTCCTCAATATTTACGTAATATCTATATCAATTTTTAGCCTAAAGTCTCTACTATTCTTTCTGTCGATTTTCTTTCACACAATATGAGAGATGACAATGGTGATCACAGGGGTACCTGAAGGTGAACCTCTAGTGACTTGTCATGCATGGCCTTCAGGCAGGTGGCATTGATATTGATATCATCATCTCCTGAAGTATCATACAGAACAACAAGTGGAATATCTGCCTTGTCAAGTATTTCCACCGCAAAGATCTTCCCACAAGTTAGAGATTCGACCACTTTCACTAGATTAGGATCATCACTGAGAACCTCCAACCCTGAAAAATAGTGAATATTTTACTTTCTACCTCTTAAAAGAATTATCATAAGATGGATGGCTCAAGTATCTTTTGACTACTTATTAAATTATGAATCTACCATAGAATTATTAAATTTTATATGGAATCTTTGTTTTATAATCTTCTTTACCTTATTTATCTGTAAGTTTTTAAAAGTACACTGTGAATACCCTTTGAATGACAGGCAGAAAAATCTTAAAATAAGAAAAACTGATCAATCAGAATTTCTACCTTTGAAAACATAGCCTTCACTTTATATACAAACACATATTTAAAACTAATACATATTTTTAAAACTTACTAATCATGTCTGCTAGTCCTTCATTTTAATGTCTTTCTAAAATTCTACCCTTGATTTTTAAATTTTCTAATTAAACATATATAATTATTTGTCTCTCATAAAATGAACATTCATGTAATGGAAACTGAGACTTCAGTATTTTTCCTCGCCTCCTTCCTTCCTGTACACCATTATGGCCCTGAAGACACCAGAGAACCTTCTGATCTACCAAAGAAAGATGACTGTTTAACATAACATAGTATCAGGTGAATTTTTAGTCCAATTATTCTTTCAGTTCTCTGAAAATTTAAATTCTATATATCATGTATATGACAAGTAAGTTAATTTATTAAACTAAAGCCAGCTATTTCCCCGAATGGTACTTAATGCTTATTTCTTTATTTTCCTCTAAATCCACAGCTAAATTTTACAGACTCCTCCTGAGTGGCCATTTTCACGTCCTGTTCTCCAGGAACACAACTTTGTAGCTTTCCTCAAACTTTTCATTTCAGCATCCTAAATCTTGTCCTGTGCTCGTGATTTGTTCCTTTTAAAACCAATTCCCACAGGTTTCTAACAGGCTCTTAGACCCGCTTTCAGTTCAGTTCAGGGTTAGCTTCAGCTCCAATGGCACAAACATTCGTCCTTGCTGTGAGGGGGCATTTCTTCAGAGGGCTCATCTTCACCTAGGAATTATTATCGCTTTCTGAATTTAGCACAATCCCTCCCAGGAACAATGAATATTTCCATTAACCTGACCACTGTCCTCCATACCTTAGGTTTATCTTTTCAAATCACTCACACATGTCTAATCCTTTATGCTCTCATAAGGCAGAAAGAAAAGAACAGTGATTTACTGACTATGCAAGAACCTGCACAAGACCTACAGGCAAATCGGGCAAAGGAGGGTGTGCCAGTGGTGTACATCTCTACCATCTGTCTCAGCGGAAAAGGGGTGAAAGTCACCTCATGGAGGGCATAGGATTGGAAATGCTCAAATCCCATGATAGAGGGCCTCTATTGATTGTTAGTAGGGTAATGAGGATAATTTTTTCAAAAACCTGTTCAGACAGCCATCAGATGTTTTTATAAAACATAATACAATGTACTACATACAATAAAATGCAGTAAAATAACATAACATCTTCATAATGATTACATCTTATACAGAACACATTAAATATAAATTTATTTAAATTTTTCAAGAAATAACACATTTTAGCACCTTGGGATACTGGGACCATTTAGAATGCAACCACCAGAAGTACAGAGGTGATAAAAGAGAGACATTTTTTTTAAAAAATTTTTTAAGTTCCTCTTACCTGCTAGTTTACACTTAGTAGCTTGGAATGAGAGTGACCAGAACTTCGGGTTCAATTTATATGCTTTGCTCTTTTCAATGACTTCACTAAAACCGTAGTCAACATAGCATACCTGTTGATTTAAAAACAAATTCAGACTAAAATTCTTTATCCTCCCTTTAAAAAATAATTTGTTTGATACATGTAACTGTCTCCATTTAATTCCACAGTCAGAATGTTAAGTGACACCACAGCTGCCTGCCCAAAGCCAGGGGAAGTAATATACCCTAACATGTCCAAAGCAAAAGTCTGGCCCTGGGAACCAGGAAAGCAGGGCTCCTGGCTCCAGGACTAGTCTACTCCCTTGCCTCTTTATTGTTATGAAAAATGAAGTCAAAACAGAGGCCTTGCCGCTGCCAGTTTTCAGGCAGTCCACCTACCTCATTCTGTCAATGCTGCAACTCTGCTTCCCCACCCTCTTTAGTGTTCCAAGGCCAGTATCACCTTTTCCTTCCTTAAATTACACACCCATTAATGCCTTGGGCAGTAGTAGCTGTTTCCAGAGAGGGCAACACTCTTGTGGTACTGATCAAAATTTAGATCCCCAAAGCAGCATTTGTGATGGTCTGCGCTTAGCTACTGTGTCTCCACAGGCTGAGAAGCTTCTTCTGGTGACAACAGTGACATCATGCTCAGACAACATGAAACTCTACACTAAAAAAATAGGCACCCTGTATATTTCAATTGCTATTTCTGTTTGTTTCAAGGGTGCAAAGTTAGGCTTGGCACTTAACAAAAAGTCTCAAATCTACTGGACAGCTTTTTACCCACATATCTTTCTTACCATTGGCACAGACCATTAAGAACCTGAGTATTATTTTTAGTTTATGTATACAGAACATTACTTTGAAAAGGACATTATTTTGAACGCAAAGCCTTTTCTTTAAAAAAAAAAGAAACATCAAGTTGTGGTTTAGAATAACTAAGAATCTGAAGTGTTGAAAACTTAGTATGCTTTAATTAAAGCAGAGGTTTAAAAAATGACAACCAGGACAGAGGCTTGGATAAGACATACTAGGTAAAAAGAGGCAGGTCTCTTCCCTTCTACCTTCTGCAGGAATGTAAAAGGCACATACCAACTTCAAGGCACCTAGATTGTGGTACTAAATATGCAAAACTCTCTCCCAGCAGAAAGTTTAAGGAGAAATGAGGCAGAGAAGCCACCAATTCTTTCCCTGACCATGTATGTGATAAGTGGGCTGCAGGAAAACTATTTCTTTCTATGGGAGAAATCACTTCTTGGAGGCCTCAAGTCACATTTGACTCAACACTAGGGCCTAGATCACTGGCAGGGTGCCCACAGCAGGTGGCCAGACATTTAAGTGCACCAGTTTATTTCTCCCATCTTGAATCAGAACCTGCTCTCACTCTGCACAGGGTTGAGAAGTCAGGCAGCTTCTGGGTCCTTTAATAGCTATAACCACCTACAGCCTGGATTCTGCTCTTCCCCATTTAAATGGAGATAACACAGCTTGACAACAGGATAGAACATGAGATCGTGACTCCTAGGTGATGCAGAATGTATTCTGAACACAGCCACAGACTAAAGAATATCTGCTCCAAAGTCTTCCAAGATTTTCTGTAATGTCTGTAGCTTGCTTCTTCCTTTTTTTTTCTTGTTTTTAATCACAACACCATGTATTTGATGACAGTAACATTTTATAAAAAAAACACTTATCCTTGGATGGCTCAATGTTGACTCTCAGCACACCCTACCCTGTTTACTCTGCTCTCTTGAGTGCACTGGGTGATATCACCACTATCAGGCTCAGTCCAGGTATCCAGTCCGTTAATTCCTGGTTCTCTGGCACCATCAAGTGGCCACAAATCTTAGAGCACTACCCAAGTAACAGCATGGACTCAGGATACGAGACCAGCCAGGCCAACAGGCACCAGCTCAGGGTGCCCTGACATTCTCCTGTTTCTCCTACCTGCCAAGGACCTCACAGATGGAACCAACGAGGAGACTGGTACCTGTTGCCAGGCAGATTTCAGCTCATGAGAAACAAGGCTGGTGCTAAGTAGCTGGAGCTTCTCCAAATAAAGGGCGACATCTCTGTCAGCTCCACAGGGATGTGGGAAACAAGAACAGGACAGGCTTGCTATAAGCACTGCTATATCAAGAGTACACTGTATACAAAACACTGAGCTACTTTTCTTATTTCTAACAGCCCATGACTCTCTGCAGTAATACAGACTGAACACTAGGGTCTGTCCTTATGGAATATCTGAACTGTTTATTGCAAATAGTGCTACATTGTTGATGTGTCACTAGGACTTACATAGAAGCTTAGTGTCTGCTGAATCTCCTAAGGGCAGGAGAAGAGAAATGGCCAGAAATATTTGTGTATCTAGGGATATTTGGTGAGTTATCGCCTATCAACTAGAAGCCAAGACAAATAGGAAAACTTTTCCAAGGGCAAATATATACAAGCAGTGAGCGCCTACACCACATACAAAAGCTCTGTGCTCCACTGTTCCAGTGACCACACTGATCCTTAGGTTATTTTTAGTGTTTTTCAAATTTTATCCAGGTATAGTCAACAGGGAAGAAAAGAGCCACTCAAACCCATTCATGGGTTCCAACCAACATATACACCATATAATCACCACCATAATTTAAAAACAACCATTTCCACCACCTCCACAAGATCCCTCTTGCCTGTGCAACTAGCCACCCACCCTCTACCTCTTGTATCAGGTAACCAATGTTCTGAATTTATCAATGCTATGAAGTTTAACTGTTCTCAGATATCACTTATCCTGGCCCACAAAACATTACTCTTGTGACTCGTTTCTTTTTTGTTCAGCATAAAGTCTTCAAGATTTACCCATGTAGATAGTTGAATAGTATTTCATTTTATAAATTAACTATAATTTGTTTATGCATTTCCCTATCGATAAATATCTGGGCTATTTTCAGTTTGGGGTTATTAATAAAACTGCCGCAAACATGTATGTGTAAGTGCTTTGTGGACCTACATTTTCATTCTCATGTGTAAACACTTAGGGGTCATATGATGTGTTTAATTGCCAAACTGTGTTTTAATGTTCAGATTTTTACAGTCAATCAAATTTCTTAAAAGTTGTGCCTCTACAGATTAGGACAAGGATTTCCTAAATTTCTCTGTGAATGGGAAAGGTGGCTTGGGTGATCTTAATTCTGGACAGGATCACAGACACTCTAAAGTACTGAACAAATTGGGAAAGAAGCAGCAAGCCCCTTCCCCGTACACAGGGGAGGGGTTTCGAGAGTAAATGAAAGCTGAGTTCAGGACTGGGTTATCTGCACTCAGTGGCATACAAAGGATATGGCCAGTGGCTAACAGTGCCACATGGTCTTGGGTTTTGTTACTGTAGAACAGTGACTGACTGAAGAAACAGAAGTATACATTCTTGTTTGCAAACTCTAGAGAGAACCCAAAGAGCTTTGGAGATGTTTTCCTGATCAGCCAGAGTCTTCCATAGAAGCAGAGGAGACTCTGAAACTGTGTGAGGGGCACTATCGTGGTAAGGGGCACTAACTTAGCAAGAAGGCTGGCAATACACCGAAGTCTTAAAGTACATTTACACTTAATGAAAAGAAACATCTTAGTAATATAGGGAAAAAAAAGACCTTTTCCCCACAAATACCTCATAGAACAGCTGCCCCAGTGCCTCAAATATTCAAAAGGCAGGCATATTATTCACAAGGCGATTTCCAAATACACATACAGCTTTCACCAATAAACAAAGATGTGACAGAGAAAAACAGTAGGCAGATACTGATGACCTCAGGGTAGACAGAATCATTCACTGTTCTTCTGCACACTGCATGGGGAGCTACAAGGCCAGTGGGACCTGGACCTGCAATAAAAATCCTGCTTCCTGGGCTCTGCATAGACGGTGAAAAGAGGCAAGGGGTCAAGGGTAACATGGGGATATGGCCAGGTCTGGAGGTCCAGCTGGTGGAGTAGGGTGGTGAAGAAAGCCTGTGACCATTCCAAGAGGACTGAGAGGCGAGCCTGGGAGCAGTCCCTGGAGAATGGCCCAAGCACTGGCTGACACAGGCAGAGAAAGAATGGAAGCATTCTGACTATGTAGCTTCCTTCACTTGAAGTATTGCCTTGAGCTAACTGCCCACATAGCTGGTCAGTACGGGGAGTAGGAGGGAAAGTCTCATTCTGCTGAGAGCATGGCTTTTGCATATTACCGTGGAGAAGCTGTTTCTTTTATTGAAACACTATGGTAACATGACAACCACTGATTTAATAGCTAACAGGATAATTTACAACTTTCAGAGAAAACTTACAATTTAAAAGGACACAATATAGGAAAGAGTGTTTACATTTAACAAATAATAAGGTGTGTGTCTTAGTAATGCTACAACAAAGTCACTACTGCTTGCCTTCATCTTGTTCTCTTCTGCTGAGATGACCTGTGCACGTAACCAAGCATCCTCCTCAGCGTTTACAGCTAGCAGCTGCCCAACCAGCACAGCCTGGACTGGTGCAACCATGGGGTTCTTACTGTAGAACTCTTTCATCTCATCTTCCATTAATTCCTGAGCGGCTGAGTAGTCTTTGCCCACATACCTGGATTAATAAAAGGCAGAAAACACAAATGAAGCCATCTTAGGAAGAGAAAAAGCACAGGAACGTATTAGAGCTGCTCTGTTATGCCTGTCATCTTTGGTTCCAGCCTCAGATTTGCACTGATAGGGAGGCAGTGTGCTCAAGAAACATTTACCTGCTGATAAAGGAAGAGAATGTACGTAGACCAAGTAAAAGAAGGCTGAGGTCCACAGTACCATGCAAGGGGGCAACTCAGCAGACTACAGTTTAGCAGTGAGCAGTGAAAGAGGCTCAGGGAGGATGAGGCTGAGAAAGACTCAAGCAGGGGAGGGAGGAAGAGACAGGAAGAGACCCAAAGGGGGCCAGGTAAGCAAGGGCTACCCTAAGATTTTGTCTAAAACTGCTAGAGATCTGGATTACTGAGAAGAGAATCTAGTAGAGTTTTGCTCTAAGGCTGATTCTGAACAAACCTCAAACATTTTAAGCCATGAAACTTTACTAAAGAAAAAGACAAAGCCTAGGAACAGGACCGTGTGTTAGTTGTAGAGCATCTGTCTAGCATGTACAAAGGCGAGCATTTGACCCCCAGCACCATACACAGACACACAGACACAGACACACATGCCTTGAACACAGTAAACACAATGTCAACAATGTGTTACCCCAACACCCCCAAGTTGCTGAACAAATTACAATAAAGTGTTAAGTTCTGATGCTTTCAAAAGCATCTGATTTTCTGTCTAGAACATGTCATGTTTAGAATGCCTCTATAATGTTTTCTGACAAATATTATTTTAGACATGTCCCAGCCCTTTCTACAATTGCCTATTGTTGACAATTCCAGTCACTTTGTTCCAGTTCACATCAAGACATACTATTTTCTTTTATGCCACAAACTAGCAGTTGTTTTCTTGCCCTCATTAAGGGCCTCCTTCCAGGATGTAAAATCTGGCAAATCAAATTTGGGTCATGAAACAGCAGTGGCCTTAGCCATAAGATTTATGTAGCCTTTCAGTCAGAAACAGAGGACAGGGTATCCATAGCATTGTTCTTTGCATCGTTTGTTTGTTTTTTACACAGGGCCACGAGCAATAAGAAACTATGTATTCCTGTAGGCATGTTTCCATGTGATCTTGGTAACCATCAGCAGGGCAGAAGGTGCCATAGCAAATCCATTTGTGAGTAGAAAGAAAAGCTGCAAAGAAAGTCCTCAATAAAGTGAAAGGATACCTCTTTTGAAACAATGGCTAATTTTTTTTTTTTAAGAGTAGGAAAAATTTATTGAGGGAAAGAAAGCTTCTGTAAAGAGACATGGAAGGGGAACTGGAAAAGTGGGTTGCCCACTCACCCCACTTCTCCAAAATGTTTTATACAGCAAAGCCATGTGGGGAGGTGGGTACAAAGTGGAACAAAACTATTAAGACCCAATGGAAAATTACAAGGTGGGCATGAGGTGGGGAAAAACCACGACCAACTAATAAGATTATAAATACAGTCACCCAGGTAATATTAAGTGGGGGTCAAGTGGGGGAGCAAGTCACATAGCAAGTACAAGGATTTTCAGTAAGGGTGGGGGTCAGGGATATTTCCTGGAAAGGCTGGGCTAAGACCTTGGCCCCCAACCCAGGTGATTGATACCTATTTAGAAAATCAGTCACTGTTCTCTGTCCCCAGGGGAAGCACAAGGGTGTAATAGTTTCTCTCCTTTTACAATTCTGGCCACAGTGAATGAGACTTTATTGTCCTCCATGTTGGCTCCTTGCTGTGTTGGCCCCTTGGTCTAGCTGCCTCCAAGATATCAAATTAACTTACCTAGCTGCAATATTCCCCCCTCTGAAGAAGTACCCCTAACTGCTGTGAGGGAGCAAAGGGTGAAGACAGCGCTGGCTACTTCCAGTTGTAGTTGTGATCAGCAATTAGAGTTACTCTACAGAGGGTCTACCTAAAAGCCTTCCATAGGCACCTGGCATTGTCATCTTGGTAGCTGCATAGCTTTTAAGTCTGATGGAGACAAAGCCAAAGAAACAGTTAAGAATTTATGGGCCAAATTATAAGGTCAGCAGGATTGCTGTGAATAGCAATGGTTACTTTAAGTGAAATATTATACGTATATTATTCACTTTAAAAACAGTTGAAGATGCTTTGCCATGCTCTAGCCATTTAATTTTACTGACCTTTGCAAACGTTAAGGCACTACCTGGAATACATTGCACTCTGGGCTCTGAAGTTTCCTGGGAGGTCTGCAGCTGGCAGCTGGCCCTACATGCCTATTTCCTGGGGCTTGGAGTCTTGGCCTCCCTGTAGTGCTGTGCCAGCCCTGGCAGCTCAACTGGCAGAACCCAGGTTGCAGCCTGATGTGGTAGTTCCCTGGCATACAGACTTTTTTTGGGGTTTTTTTGGTACCGGGGATCGAACTTGGGTCCTTAAACTTGCGAGGCAGGAGTGAGCTAAATCCCTGGCCCTCTGGCATACAGGGAGGAGGAAGGTAGAGAGGGAGGACTCCCTGTAGCAGTCAGGAGAAAAGGATGGCTACAGGGCTAGGGTGAATACAGGGAATGCTGTTACAGCTGAAATGGAAGTAGGCAGTAGCAAGAATGGGGTTGTACTGGTCAACAAATTACCTGAGCAAGAAGGCAAAGAATGCTGCATAGATCAATTAGGTATGTCATGGATACAAAGGTTTTGTTTGCTTTGTTTTGTTTTGGTACTGGGGATCAAACTTGGGATCTTGTGTGTGCCAGAGGCAGGCGGGGAAACCACTGAGCTAAATCCCCAGCCCCAAAGTTTTACAGGGTTAATTTTTGAGTCTGAACATGATAAATTCCCATATTTTATCTGGGGGTTCTGCCACAGCACCCCTTGGGGTCCCTCAGGTTCAGCCAGAAGTCCATGTTCCAGGGTCTACTTACTATTTGCCTGGGTGAAAAATAGAGTATGGAAAATGTACCAATAAACTTAATAAAAAAAAAAAAAAGAATAGGGTATGAAATAGAACTCAACCCGACAGGGGTTTGTCTCCCAGATCTCTAGTCAATATCTAGAGTCAGTATCTAGTCAATAACCTAATGGCAGATGTTACCTATCATTTTACACTTTGTCAGCCACCCTGCCAAACATGGAAAAAGGTATCTAAATAATCTGAAGACCCTGGACATAATCATCTTTGAAAAGTTTCACACACTGCTACTAATGTCCTAGAGCAATCTAGATTTCTGCCAGCCCTCCTTAGTAAGAGCATCAGAAATCCTGACTGACCCAGTCCAGTGCTGGGTGTTTGGTCTCTGACAGTAGCACCGATGATCACTGGTAACACATACAAAGGATTCTGTCATGGAAGTAGATTTAGGTTTCCTTTATGACATCAATATTTGGAATCAGTGATATGCCTCTTCAAGTTTTATTTTACTATATATTACTATATATTTTACTGTACATTAGTAGGCCATAATCCTCAACAACTCATTTCTATCTTTAGGTTACAGCAGATCCTAGAGTAAATCTTCATATATTCAGTAACTCTTATAAAACCCTCTCTAAAGATTCTTCTAATTTGAGCAACCCAAGAAACTAAGGTTCACTTCATTATACACTCAAGACTCAAGAGTGTTCAAATCCAAGAGTTTTAAAGCTCTTCTTTCCTTGAAGGATTTTGATTATTTTTTTAAAAAGTCTTCCTTTGGGCCTTTCCAGCTCAGCTATAGGTGTTCAACAGCCCAAATCATGGGGTAATTTTGTTTGATGGTGCCTAGATTCTGTTTGGTACCAACCTTTTCCTCATCTGTCTAGCCAGGCATACGCTGGCTGGTGCTTCAGGCAGCTTTGGCTACATAGGCTACCATTCTTTTCCCAGAGCAGCTAACAGCAAATTGTACTCTTCCTGTACTTTTTAGGTATTCTGTAGTTTCTCCAAAAGCACAAGTAAAGAGCCTGGAGCTCAAATGATATTTTGCATTTCAGTTATAGTTAGGCACTTAGACAATGACTCTCCCTAGGCAACGATATGAGGCTGAAGTCATAAGAGCACCTCCGGGACCAAGTGCTAATCTGAGGTCCTACATAAGGATAGGATTCTTTGCAATTCTGACTTTCAGGAAATGTTACATAATCCCAAACTCAATATTATTACCCCTAGTGTGTGGGGGTCTTGCTTTTTGCATAGGTATGGCTTTTGATATGTAGACACCACGATGCCACTGACATAATTTAATATTATCATTTCAATTTTTAAAACTGTCATTTTCCCCATAAGAATAGTTGCACATTTTAAAGATATATTACTATATTATTAACTTTACCATAACTCATTAAATTCAAGAGTATGTTAGTCATCCTTCAAGCCCCAGCACCCATGTGATATACAGTCAAGAAGTAACAGTATACCTGCATTCTAACAAATTAGACAATGACACTTGCCTGATAACTACTTCATTTGTGTTGCTCAGTTCAACCACCAATACAGATGGGGATGCCTCACTTGGAATGACTAGAGGAGGAACCATTATGTCCTCCAAAAAGGTTTCAGTGCTTTCGGCAACGTTTTTTTCTATCTGTAAGTATTTTTGTTCAATCGCTGACTTGGTATCATTTTCCTGTGCTTGCCTTTCATCTTTCAGGCTCTTGTCAAAGGGCAATGGAAGTTTAGCATAGAGAATAGCCTTCTGAGAATTTCCAGAAATGTAGTCCACACTACATACATCAGAGAGTGAGGCAAGATTTTTTAAAACATCCTCAGGGAATTTTACTTTGTACGCGTCTTCAAATGCTTTGGGGAGTGCACTAGCCCAAAGGCCACTGGAGTACTTCACCAGCAGCTCTGCCACTTTCTCTTTGATTTCTCCTGGCATGGTGGCTAAACTCCCTTTTGATGGTGATATTTGTTTGGAAGCAGGTAGAGGGGATGGAAGCATTTTTTCAGTGTCCAGTTCACTTCTCATAGGCTGTTTTCTTTTAGCTGGATAAAGAAGCAAATCTTGACCACCACTGCAAGGTTTTTCCACCTGGAATTGTAAAAGAAAACAAATAGTAGATATATTAGTGGCTATAAACCACCTGAAAACATGTAAGTGCATTTTATATTTGAGAGCAACATTATTTTCAAATTAATCACACAAAAATACATTTTATTTTTCTCAATTACTAATATTTAATGCATTGGCTTTGCCTGTAAATGAAATGAGCCACATTTCAGAAAAAGAAAACCAAGAAAATAGTATTAAGTTCACTTGTGAGGTTTCTAGAATCTAACTGTCCAGTAAATCATGAGTGCTTCTACTCACTTTGGTCTCTCTGTTAAAGCAAAGCAAAACTTACAAAACGGACTGAATCCAACGTGAAATGAAGTTATGAATGGGTATCAGCCCTGTCAGGAATAAATCAGTGGGAAGAACACAGGGAAATATTTAGCCAGAATAGGTATACTCTCTCTTCTTGCAATACCCTCAAAAAACCCTCAGCTTTCTATTATTTAGAAAAAGATGTGCCAGAGGTTAGTTACAGTATTTACAAAACACCGCAGCAGAAAGTTAGCTGAAAATGTTGTCCTTCCAATGAGCATGTGTTAGACATAGCTGGCATTAGTATGTCATCCAATCTTTACTTTTATTTGCCTTCTATGCCTTAGGGGTACAGTTTGATGCATCTTTATTAAACAGTAAAAGATAAAACTTATGTATGATACCACTATTTTCAGGTTTGAATGTTTTCTACTGCTAGAAGAGGAGTTGGCAATTTACCCTACAGCCCAATGCAGTTATGGCTTATGAGCTGGGAGTAATTTTTGTATTTTTTAATTGTTGAAAATATCCAAAGAATTATTTCATGGCATGTGAAAATTACATACATAAAGTTTTACTGGCATACAATCATGCTCAGTGGTTATGTATTATCTATGGCTGCTTTTGTATTACAAGGGTAGAATAGCTGTGATAAGACTGTGTCTACTACCTGCAAAGCCTAAAACATTTACTATTTGGTTGTCTACAAAAACAGTTTTTCAAACTCTGTACTAGGCCATCAGACTAAAGTAAAGAGTCATTGCCTTCTGAAATGTTCCTATTTTTTCAGATCATATTCAGTTATCCCTCAGCTACATTTTAAGCCCTTAGGAGACTCTACTGGGGTAGTAACATATTACAAGCTTATAGGAACCCCCAACCATCCAAAGAACAAATATTTAAGTACGCTCAGTAGGTTATAAAGAACAGTGACTTCATTTACTTCCCTCTTGTACAGGGATTAGGGAGAGAGTACATATGTATGTGTACAAAGAAAAGTGCTGCCTTATTACCAAAGAAGAGCTCTGAGAAGAGACACAATGAGTTTGATATTTTAAAAATCCTTTCAGTATGACTATACAGTATATTCCAGATGATACACAGCAAGTGAGTAAGTGTTCTGTTTCTTTTTATTTTTTGAAGTACTAGGATTTGAATTGAACCCAGGGCCTGTTGTATGCTAGGCAAGCACTTTACCACTGAACTACATCCCAGTCCCAGAAGTCAACAATATTAACATTCAGGTCAAATGATGAATCATTCAGGTTTCCCTCTTCATTCTTTTGATAATGTGTTTCTTAAATTTTTAGAATTTAAGAAAAAATCTCATGCCTGAAAAGCCTAAAGCACCAACGACAGCAGAGGTGATATATTGCATATTTAACAGCTGTAGACACTGCTCATTATGGGTGGTTAGTCTGGGACGCTCCAGATGGCATGTCAATGGTCACAATTTATGTTCCTAATATTTACCCACAGAGGAATAAATATTTGGAGTACTCATCCTTCTCTTCATGGTTAGTCCATTTTTAAACTCTGAAATCTTAAAATACCTATCTACACTGTGCCTTAATATACTTGATAAGATATAAGAACTCAAATTGGGTATCCAAAGGATATTTAGAAAATCTGAAGCACACAGAAAACGAGAACAGAATTCTGTGCAGTTCATCTGTATAGAATCCCAATTAATGTACTTTTAGATTTAGACATGGTAGTAAGTACTCTGTATCCAAAGCCAGATGAGCCTGTGGGACTTTTGCCAACTGACCTCTTGTCAGTACTTCCTATGAGGGGCTGGGGATTTAGCTCAGTGGTTCGGTGGCCTGTCTTGCAAGCGCAAGGACCGGAGTTCGATCTCCGGTACCAAAAAAACAAAAAAAAACAACTTTCTATGAAGCAGATGGTAGAGGCTAATTTCAGTGGAAGGTAGCCTATCTTATTCCTTTACAATAACTTCTATAAGCCTCATCTCTCAGCCACATGGATTTTTCTGACAAAGTTTTTCAGCTTTATGATCCTTTTCCTTCCAATGAGTCAACTGAAAGTATGGGATACTTCAATGTTTAGTCTCTCTCTCCCAGCCCTAAATCTTCCATTCCCACCTGTGCCTCAGATGTGATCAGCACCAATAACCTAACAATGCACTTAATTTCAGCAAACCTCTAAACTTGATCTCTGAACATGCCCACCACAATTTTTTCTAAATAGGAACTAATGTCTTAACAGAATTCATCAACATTATGCCCATTTAATGTGAGCTGGTGCAATGCAAGAGCAGAATTCCTCTTTTTCTAGCCTTTATTTCAGAATAATATTAGAGATCACCCAGAAGTGGTGTTTCTAAGTTTGTCTGCAATATGTAAGTCAAACTTTGCTAGTGTACGAAGTGTAAAAAAGTGTTTTAAAAATGGGGCATTAGACTCTGGGACTCAAGGGATCCTCCCTCACACCTCAGCCTTCAGAGTAGCTGGGACTACAGGCCTGCACCATTACACCCAATTATAAATTTAGGTACATTTTTTACCTGAAGTTATCCAAAGTACAAGCAATAATCAAATAATCATCTTAAGAGAGAAGGCAGATTTCTTTCCTCAGGAGCTTTGTTTTTACTGTGTAAGGTAATCACACCTGCCTCCACACACTTTCAATGGCTAGTTCCTTGAATTACAGGCAATCTTCAGTCTACCCTGTCTTCTTTATCTCAAGAGAGTTAGTTATGTGCTTAAATTCCATCTGTTGTTCCAGTGGTTTGACCTCTTAAAATTCAAATGAGAGCTGGGCGTGGTGGTGCACGCCTGTAATCCCAGCACTAGGGAGGCTGAGGCAGGAGGATCACTGTGAGTTTGAGACCAGCCTGGGCTACATGAGTTACAGGTCAGTCTCAATTGTACAGTGAGACCCTGTCTCAAAAAAAAAAAAAATTCAAATGAGCATTTACTAAAAGGAGAACTGTGAGTTAGACCAGCCTGGGCTACATGAGTTACAGGTCAGTCTCAATTGTACAGTGAGACCCTGTCTCAAAAAAAAAAAAAATTCAAATGAGCATTTACTAAAAGGAGGACTGAACATAGACCGGACTTCAGGAACTGAATATGACACTAAATGGAGTTGACTCAGACATCCTTCAGTATTTCAGGCAAATATTCACAGGCAAATTTAAGTGATGCAGAAAACAGTATTGCTCCAAATATTTCATTAATCTTTGGAGAATGTCTTATGGGTTTCTTAATTCAAAGGGAAAATTACATGAAAAACTTTAAGAGTTAAAAATATAATTTAAAACTAACACTTTTTAGCTTAAAATATTTAAAAAATTTTTTCAAGTGAATAGGTACTTGTTTTTCCTAAGCATTCTACTGTGATTTGTATCTGTCATTCACAAAACATGGCATCTCTTTTTAATTTTTTGGTAAATGTGTACTTAGGAAAGAGACCACTATTCAGTCTCTTCCCAGCCCCCAAGAGTTTCCCCAGAGCTAAAAAAAAACTGTTACACTGTGGAGTGCAGTGCGGTGTCTATTCTTTACCGTGCTCTGGGTGAATCTGACAAGAGATATATAACATCCTGCCTCATCTCCCAAGACAGAACAGCCACTTCCTGGTCTTTATAAATGGCCAAAGTCAACATCTACTTGAAATATGGCTTTTATATTTCCTTACTGTAATAATCAGCTGCTAAACATTTCAGCTCAATCTCTAAAGAGGGAGATTTTATAGCTTCTAGCTCATTTAGTTCAAGTGCTTTAGATATATATACCTAAGGAGAGTCAAAGGCCTCTTCTACTATAGAATAAAGACTCAGAATCATAATAGTGTCCTTCTCTTTAATGTTTTTCTTTGCTATGTGGCTCTAGTTCTTTTCTTCGGCACTGAATATACACCTAAAAAATCACCAGTGCTATGACTTGGAAATGACACGACTTGTAATTCCACATACTATGTACACACTATGTGTAAACCCTCACTCCCAGCTCACAACAAGATAGACAGGTGACATTAAGGATTAACTTCCTACATCACAGCCATAGCCACCTCCTTTGGCCATCATCAGAAGACTCTAAAGAAAATGCTATAAATTAGCTATCCCTACAAGTTCATTATAGCTTTATACTTTACCTCATTTGGAATCTCATACCTCTCTGAATTTCAAGCAGATGTATTAAGAGTTTATAGATATGAGGTCTAAGAACTGAAAACATCAGTTTCTTCAGGAACCTGTTTGCTCACAAACGTAAAAATCTTCACCCTACATACCAGTAAACTTGTTTCCCTTAAATCTAAAAAGTCTTTACTTATCCCTTTCTAGCTTAACTGTACTATAAACTTAAAAAAGGTTCTTAAAGCCAAATTCCTCTAAGAGTCTCTGAGGGCTCACCTGCAAATTCTGCAGCCCCAGCTGTTAAGCTGTCTCCATGGATTTAGGACTTTATGGATTCTATCACAGACTTGCTATTACCCATTTAAATCAAGCAGCTTTATATGCACACAGTTTCTTCTACTTTTCTTTTTTTTTTTTTTTTTTTTTTTTTTTTTTTTTTTTTTTTTTGGTACTGGGGATTGAACTTGGGTCCTTGCGCTTGCAAGGCAGGCCACCGAACCGCTGAGCTAAATCCCCGGCCCCACACAGTTTCATTTCCATAGAGTAGTAGCTCTTTGTGCTGAAGTTTTAAATCCTAAACTTCATTTTATGTTATCACCACTCAGTAGAAACCTGACACAGT